TGAGTTATGAAGACGGTCTTCATTAGAGGCTTGTTTTAGGGAGGAAGAGATGGGACAGAGGCCTTGTATTTAAAGGCTGCAACCAATTCTAGGAACCAGAGATGGTCTTAAAGTAACAGTTGCAGGATTTTAACCAAAATACATATGGGGTCATTGTTTATTTGTTGTTGTAGACTACAAATAGAGATATTAAGCCACTAATTTAGTTTAATTACGTTTTTAAAAATTCGCTTTGGAAAGTTGTTAGGTGTTGCTAAAACAAATTTTACTGTCTTTAGCCTGATTTTGTTCAGTAATAATCCTGATTGGTTTTTCCAATGCAACAATACTTTGTTTTATTTAGTCCATTGAACATTAAAGAATATATTTAGAAAATTTTGAAGTTTTAATATATATATATATAAATATATTTATATATATTTATGCCTTGTGGGATTGGAACAAGTTCAAGCCATAATATATTAACAGATTTATTTTAATTTTTATATATATATTATATATAGTATGTATATTTATTAATGCTGTCAAAATAAGTGCATTAACGGATGTGTTCATTTGAAATATTTAACGCATAAAAAAAATTAACGCAGTTGCAGTTTTTTTTTTTTTACTGTTGTGGTTGACGTGTGTTTAACATGCAAATAAATATGGATAAGACCAAGGAAGCACTTTTTGAAGGCAAGTTTCAGTATAAAATAATTAATGTCGCATTACCAGGCTCTCCAGCCTTTCCTCCAGAGATTCATCTCATTTCGGGTGTTTCATTTTTAATCTTTTGACTTCTGTTTTAATGGAATTTGATACCGCATAGCGAACTGAAAAAATAACCTCTGCATTCTGTGACTTGGTGGTTCTTTAAGGGAAACACAAATCACTGCTTACTTGTTAGACTCTCAATAAGAGTATTATCTTAATCATATTTAAATCTGAGTATTGATGTCCATGTAAACGAAGTGCCAGATGAAGTCGTGAGCTCTGCCTTTCAGCATGCGCCCTCTAATGTTTTATTAAGTTTGACGTGTTTCCCCCTTAAATGCAAGTGTCTGCTTTGCGTCATTGTGTTAGAATCCTTGTGAAATTCAGCCATACTTTAGAACGCTTAGTTTCAGCAAATTTGGTAAAAGCGATCATGCCTGTTGAATCTGAAGAGAGTCGCTCTGGCTGCCCTGTCCTGCACGCGTTGTGTGTGCGAGTGTGAGTGTGTGTTTATGTGTGTCTGTGTGTGTGCGCACTAAATCAAAAAGTTACGAATTGCCTTGAAATTGCGTTGCACTCTCAGCTCACATCATTCAAAAGAAAAGGTCCACATTGTCCCCCGATAATGTTAACAGACTGGACTGTTTTAGCAACTGGCTGAATGTAAAGGAGGACAACTCAACTTACAGCAATACATCTTTACAATGAGTACAATTGTTTGTATTAAATTCTTTATTGTTATTATAATTTCCATTTTCCATATTTGCAATGCCTGTATTTTGGGATTTTTTTGCAGTCCATTTAGAATCCAACTTGGAAATAATTTTTTTCTTTATTGGTGTTGATTGTTTTGAAATTCAAATGGCATTAACATGCCTGTGTTTTCATCTCTGTTATAAATATGGCTATCAAGCCAGGATCTTGATGGTTTATTGTGGGTATGTTGTTTACATGAAGAAATCTGTGTTACAAGTTAAACAAAAATTCTAATAAACAATTATATTTTGATTTCCCAGCGATGGGTTGCGGCTGGAAGGGCATCCACTGCGTAAAAACTTGCTGGATAAGTTGGCGGTTCATTCTTCTGTGTCGACCCTGGATTAATAAAGGGGCTAAGCCGACAAGAAAATGAATGAATGAATGAATTATATTTTGAATGTAAATAGTTTTTGTCTTTTGTTGACATTAATTTTACATTTGAATAGCCAAAATTACAAGTTTCAGTCCAAATGTGATTAATTGCGATTAATTTTCAAAAAAGTTTGATTAATTAGTTAATTTTTTTAAAATCTATTGACAGCACACACACACACACAGTGCTCTGACTTGTCCCCTCCCTGGTCCAAACTTGAATATTTTGAAAACCAACATGTTATTGACATCCATATATATTTTTTCCTGCTACAAATGAGAATGCCTACTATGTCTACTTTATCATTCTTTAAAATATCTTCTACGATTTTCAAAAAAACTATACATCACATGCATAAATCTATCAGTGGAAAACATATAGCAAATATGGCCATTTAAACACAAAATACACACATTCCTGATATGTGAGTGCCATCTCACACTCAATACACTACAATTACTATGGCATAAATACAACACTACAATATCAGATTTCTATATGTGAACAGTTGAGTAAGTAGATGAGTCAATGCTTAAATTACATTTTGGAGTATGTTACAATATAAGTAAATGTTTCTTTCCTTTAGGTAAGCTATCCCTTTAAGCATTAAAAATAGCTAAAAACACGATAAAAGTAGTCCAAAGGGCCTGTGAGGGTGAGAGTAAATGTTCAGAGATTGTTGTTGTTGGGTTGAATTATTTCTTTACTAAGAGTAAGGGAGTAAAGAGAAGTTTTGTGCAGCTGGTTCCCACTGTTTTTGTATACAGCTGATAAAGCGGTAGAAGACTGATAAAAAGGCAGCATAAATTAATGTAATCTGTGCGGGTGTAAATAAATTGTGCTTTGACCTTGGGATTCTTGAAAGAGCAGAATGCTGCCAAATCCCCTCATAGTCTCATTAGTTTATAAATTGTAGCTTGTAATGGCATGTAGTTATGGAGCAATCCTTCAGAACATTGCATCCTGTTACGCAAAAGTCAGCCCTATCTGATCCAGTTATTTGCTAATTAATTAAATACACACTGCAGTACTATTGCTGAGCTATTAAAACATAACTCATTACCATAATTATTAGGTGTTTGGCCTGACATTACTAATGATTCCTAAAGAGCTATCATTCCACAGACAGTTTCCTCTGTTATTATCATTGACCTTACACTCTGAATAGAAAGATCTCAATGCACAAGACAACAACAATGCTGCTTTTTTCTCACTTTGCAGAAACACACAGAGACGTGACATTATAAATGATAAAAGCTGTCATTAAATAAATGGGATTAAGTTAAAATTAAGGGGGAATTTTGGTCAATGAATTATGTCCATTTATAGCACCATTTATTTGTATGATCTGTGCTGGTTTAGTGCCCGATTCACTAAAGAAATTATGCACATCAGTGGAAACTGAGCAAACGCTAAATGCAGTTTGGAATATACCTGTACACCTTTTGGACAACTTTTATTTATTTATATTATTTTTAACTACTCGCTCTTAATGTTTGAAAAGGAATATTCTGCCAAACATCTTTTGTATCTGCTTTATAAAAAATGTCTTGTGGGATTGGAACAAGTTCAAGCCATTATATATTAACAGATTTATTTTTATTTTTATAAGTGAACTATCCCTGTCACAAGGGCATTACCTTTTCAAGTGTGTACCCCATAATACCTTAAAAGTAAAAAAGTGAACCCTAAAGGTACTAACGTTCACCTGTATGGTACAAAAGTGTACCTTTTACAAAAGTACCACCCGAGTGACTACTTTGTACCTTTATTTCTAGTGTGTAGGGGTAAATACATTTATGGAAATATGCAAATCTGGTAATGCTGAAAACGTGACTCAAACTTTCTGAACACTACTTGTATAGACTGGTTCTGCGTACTAGGCTGTGGAGAAAACAGCACACTTGGTCTATAAATTTGGTATTATATAGCAAAATTGCTTTTAGCCTATGATTTGTGTAAAGTAAAACATCACCAGACAACTTACATTAACTTTACATTTACTGTAATTTGGTTTGACACAAAGCAACTGACACAAAAACCGAATTTTGTTAACCATCATTTAGTGCAATGTAAATTTCACCAGGCAATATAAATCAATAGGCAAGGAAGGTTTATTTATGTAGCACATTTCATACACAGTGGTAATTCAAAGTGCTTTACTTAAACATGAATAAAAGAGACAAGTATAAGAAAAAAGTGATTGAGAATGGATAAAAACAGATTAAAATGTGCTAAAACAGTTATAAAAGAATGAAAAAGAAAAGGAAGACATAACGATGTGATCTGTTGGACAGCACAGTGCTTATTCAGTAAAGGCACACCTAATCAGATGTGTTTTAGGCCTTGATTTGAATGCACCTAATGTTGAAGCACCTCTGATCATTTCTGGAAGCTAAATAAATACATTTCTGTATTTTCGTTTTGAATATCTAACTTATAAATGTGTTTTTTTTAATCATTTTTTTTATAATTAGATAATATGGGAGATCACTTGATCCGGAAGTGTACAAAAAGCAACAATTTATTGTGATAAGCACTGTCTGATGAAGACACGAAACGTTACACGCCTTGTATCTGCCTTTTTAATTGAATAAATTGCCGTTTTTGGAGCTTTGGTGTTGCCGCCTTTTTGAAAATATATTTTCCCCTTAATAACTTTTATTGCAAATCTAGCATATGCTAGTATGTCCAATCACCCATTCCTTTCAATCTTTACCGGACAGTCTGAGCATGAAGAGTTTGGACAGGATCTGATTACGCTCTCACAAACCCATGGCAACGAATTGCTGGGAAGCCCTATAACGACACAGTCCACCCAAACCTCAGATGGATTGCCCTACTTCACCACGTTATATAACATTCTGCTGCCCATTAGCACTGAATCAGTGGCCCTCATGTTCACTTCCACCATCCTGGTTGACAGTACAGAGTATTCTAGAAGTAAGAACAATCTTTGTTTTGTTAACCCGTGAGGAATGAGTGGCAGGAGACCACCGAAAGGGTTAAAAGACAGACTGCTGCTCCAATCAGAGTTAATGATCAGAGTAGAAACAGGACCGCAGAAATGAAGGAGCGGGCAGGGGCTGTGCTGTGGGGGGATTTGTAGGAGAGCGAGAGAGGGAGAAAGAGTGAAGAAGAGAGAGAGAGAGAGAGAGAGAGAGAGAGAGAGAGAGAGAGAAAGCCACTGTGCTTAAATCCAGCTGGCTGCCTCCCTGGGAATGTAATCCATATGTGAGCGCGAGTTCAGCAGCAGGAGAAAGAAAAGATATTACTCGCAAAGAAGTGATTGTTTCTGAACTTTCTTCTTTAAATTCCACTCATTCTGGCCACCAGACCTTGGCTCTGGTTCAACAGCAACACAAAAAGAGAGGTAAAGTCTGGAGAAGGACAAAGTGAAAGTTGAGAAAAAAAGTTGGAGAGAATAAAAACGAAGGCAAAAGGAACCGTGGGGAACAATATACCGATTAGACAAGCGAGAGAACAATGAAAGAGGACACACTGGAGGAAGGCAAGAGGAGGTAGGTAATTCAAGTTTTGGTTTTTCTTTGTAATTTATGCCGGTTGAGGTAGAGTGGTAGTACTTAGTGCTGGACTGTTTGGATTGCGTCTTCATAGGAAGCAAGAGGAGACCATGTGCTTAGGTATGTGTGTGGATAGATGGGGGCGTGGTTGCTTTTGCAGAATCTGGAAAACTGGAATATACTGCCTCGAAGAGTACATGGATTTTATTAAAGTTATACAAAGCTTGAGTGCTTTGGGTCCTTGTAAACTTCTTTTATAAATGTACTTTTCTTCTAAGAATTATTTTACTTTTCCAACCAGTTGGATTTTAACGGATTTTAAGTATGCCTTATACAAAGTTGGTTTAGTTGTTCAGCTTATTGTGATTTTGTATGCTAGCTCAAACTTTAGCATCAGGAGAATAGATTTACTTAAATGGCTTCTCTATTTTTGTGGGCACCTGAGATTATTTTGGTTGCGTGGTCACTCCCTTTGGCAGTCACTGCTGGAAAAGGCTTAAGCTGGTAGCTGTGTCTTGGGACAGGATAATCAGTTTAATTTGGTCACTGATAGCTAATTTGGTCATTAGATGGTAGACAGTCTTGTAGCAGGAACAAACCAGCTCATCATGCCACTTTAAGGTGTTTAAGGTGTTTCTTGGAACTTGGTGGGTGGCTGGCATGTGCTAACTAACTAGCTTATACCAGCTAGCCTGATTAAAACACTTCAGTTGAATCTTCTTACTCAGCCTGGTAGAAGGTGCACTCTCACAGTGACTTTATAGTTAGGTTATCAGGTTTAAGAGCCACCTCCCATCTTTAACCCTTCACCTCCTTGTAAAACATTATCAATAATGGCTCAACTCTGTTGACTAAAGATATATCCTCAATAAAACGTCTGGTTGCAGGGATTAGTGAACAAAGCAGGAATGGTGTTTTTGCTCATTGTTCCCAGATGGGAAATTTGTGTGAAGGGGGAGTTTGCTTGTAGACGAGGAGAACCTCCAAGTCCTGATTACTCTAGGGAAACACAGCTCAGGCTGGAGTATTTTGACTGGAATAATTCTCTCACTTAAACACAGTTCACTTGCAGTAAAGTTCAAAGCGTGAAAGTGCTGTCAGGCAAGAACAACAACTTGCAGTGTGGAACAATAATGCTAGTGGTGCAGAAGTAAAGCCAAGTACAAAGGCTTGGTGTTCCAAACAGACTGTGCCATGAAGGACATTCAGACTTGAGAGGGAACCCAGAGTTCAAAGTTCAACAAGAAGCAAGGTTCATTATGTTTTACTAGGGGTGTCTCATCTTGCTCTTTCTGCAATATCCTGTTTTGCTACAACCTGAACAAAACTCATTTGCCAGGAAGTTTCTAGTATTTCTGTAGACTTTGATTAGTTGGCTCAGGTGTCCTTGGTTATGAGTGTATTCACATCAGGAAAGTCTGTTATTCGTCTGAAGTGGTTTATTTTCACACTACTCTTTTTATCAAGTGAATCAGAATTGTAAACAAACAACCCTTGTGATAAAAATCTGCCGTTTATTGGACAGAAATCTGCCATGGAACCATGAGCTGTGCTGTTCGAAGAACCACCACTGACAAAGTCGTTTTGTACATTTACTGTAGCTTTGAGGGACTATTCACATATTAAATCTTTGGCTCACACAAGTTATTTTATTTTTTATTTTTTTCAAATTAATTGTTATTTTTCATATCATTTTTAGTGCAAAATCATGTCAGAAAATTACATTGAGTAAAAAGATATCTATCATACATTTAATTTGAATTCTGACCTCCACATGAAAAATGATAATACAATAATAATAATAATAATAAACAAAATAATATTGTAAACAAACAAACAAACAAGTAAAAAAATAATGACATAAAATACAAAATTATATTACAGAAAGGCTTTTGTCCAGGCTGAGTCTAACAGACAAGCTTTTAGTCTTAGAGACTTAGAGGTTCCTAGATAATAAAAGAAAGGGTCCCAGGTCTGATAAAATAGAAAAGGTTTGTTCTTCATAGCTGTGGAGAAAGCCTCATGTGGGATTATGTTGCAGACTGCAAGCAGCCATTGATTTTTAGCTGGGTGGTTCTTCATTAATCCACTTTATAAGGACACATTTTTAGAGCAAAGTATGTAGAAGGCCTTTTCTGAAAATTATAAGGTATATCATCATTGAGACCCAGTAAGCAAGTCTTTGCTCCCAATCGAAATGTACATTTAAAGATGGCGTTAAGCTGCAGTTTAATCAAGCCCCAGAAATGCTGTATAAGAGGACAACTCCACATTTACAGTTCACACACAGCTCAGACAGACCTGGATTCATTTTATGTCTAACCTCAGGTGTAATAAACAGTCTATGTAAAATTTTAAATTGTCTTTCCTAGGCAGAATTTGAGGCTAACACACCAAGAGGGTTGCTACATAGATCCAACCAGGAATCATTTTATCAATGTCAGTTACACTACCCAGATCAGCTTCCCATTTACACTTAAGTGAGTCAAGGTTCTCAGTTTGAATTTTACAAGGGTGTTATAGACACGCCGTGTAATACATTTGACCTTCTTATCAATGGTCAGAAGTGATTCGATCGGGAAAATACCAAATCCTCCTGGGTAATCTCTATATTTTGTCAGAATAAAATTTCCAACCTGTAGATACTTTAAAAAGTCCACATTAGAAATCTTAGACTTGTCCTTATCTTGTTAGAATGTGAGAATCGTAAGTTCTTATTTTAAATGTAGATGCGCACAAATAGAGAGCAATGTTATAACAGTGGACTACATACCTTAGGCAAATGCAAAACAGCCAAACACCACAAGACCTTTTTCTTTTATCCATAAATGAAACTTGTATCAGAGCTAAAGCTGGGGCATAGACTGGTGTTAGTCACAGTTCACTAGAGTGCATGGCTGATGGTTGCTTAGCAACAGCAGATGCCTTGAATCTGCAACTCAAACTATGAGATCCTGATAAATCAAAAGGCAAAGGGATTTCTGCGAATGTGTCAGATCAAGGTTGGATCATATTCACACTTTAAACTGTACCATGATTCATTTGGAAGTAGACTGAGACCACCTTTTCAGTTGGGTCTTGATCTGTTTGTTCGGTGCACACACACACACATGCTGTATTTACACCTGGCTAGAAGGTGCACAGTAAAGGGGCGGGGGAGATTCTTCATTCATTCATTCATTCATTCATTCATTCATTCATTCATTCATTCATTCATTTTCTTTTTGGCTTAGACCCTTTATTAATCTGGGGTCGCCACAGCAGAATAAACCGCCAACTTTTCCAGCATGTGTTTTACGCAGCGATCCATCACTGTGAAAAATCCATACACTCTTGCATTCACACACATACACTACGGACAATTCAATTCACCTATACCACATGTCTTCAGACTGGTGGGGGAAACTTATTGCTGTGAGGCAATCGTGCTACCCACTGCGCCACCGTTAAAACCCCGGGAATTTTTCTGTCGGACCAAACAAGATGACTGGAGCTAATCTATGTTGCCCTTCAGTTGCAGGAGTGAACACTCTTGTGTAATATCTACAGTAACCTGAGGTATCTGTATCAGTTTGTCCTGCCATGACATGAGAAGAGCGTATTTCTTAACAAATACACATGTGGCCAGTTCTGTTACAACTAAGTAAGGTAAGGGTGGAAAGACCAGCATTCCTCGAGCTTCAGCAGGACTTTAAAGGTATTGTTAGGATTTTGTGTTGATTTAAAATGATCTAGTGTTAACACAAGTCATCCCATTTGTTGACAGACTGCAGCCTGCTAGACTGTTTCTGTTCACAAACTTAACCAAAGAGGAAGTATGCAAGGAAAGAAGAGTGTTTTACCCATTGGAGGTGGTATTATGCTCTGGAATGTTCTGGGAACGCCTCTTTCCAGCTGGTGTGTGTGTGTGTGTGTATGAGTGACTAGATCTCATCCTTCAGTAAGGATTTGTCAGAGGAAAAAATGAGTGCACGTACAGGTGGTTTGCTTGAGTGCTGCTTGAGGCCTCAAAGTGTCAGGAATGTATAATTTCAGTGTATCGTACGTGTCTAAATGTCATCGCCCACAAGGTGCATGACACGCATTGCAGTCTTATCAACATATCTCATGTGAAATGTGGACATGCATGTCCTGACCCAGTATGAAACAAAAGTAATGCATTTTTGTCAGGTTTAATTGTGTCATCATCCATTTCACTGCAGCCGTGCTATAGTGGGTTATCTAGAAGAGGCATCTGTTGTCTCTGTAGTAGTTTGGCCTATTTTAGCTCTGACCTGACACAAGAACAGATGCACAAATAGGACTTTAAAAGTTTGAATAATAAATACATATTCACTGTATTTTGTGGCGTATGTCTACATATGTCTAGTATTTTTCTAAAATGTTAATTCATTAGAATCCTTTAAAATGAGATTTTATGTTTTGAATGCATCTTCTGTTTAGGACAATTGAGAAAATGTGTATGTAAGGTGAACCCGAAATCAGCCTAATTATGCAGGGGTTCCTTTTTCTAGTCAGGCAACTTTTCTAGTTTCCATTGCAAGTTTCTTCAAAGAAGATCTTACAACTCTGTCATATCTTATTTCACAATGGTCCCATTGGACTTTTTTTCAAAGTCTGATATGTGCTATATAGACTAGGAACATGTTAATTACTTAGTGTCTAGAATTGCACATAATTAAATTAAAAAGTTTGTTCTAACCCAAAACGGATCTGCATGTGTTAATTTAATAATGCTTAGGGAATGAAAACTTTTAATTAGCACTTGTTTCCAATATTAGCTCTGTTTGATAGATGTCATCACCCCGGGGGCTTTGAACAATAATTTATAAATAAAATCTGGTGACGTGTTTTTACAAATCATGTATTTTTTTTTTGCATCATTGCATGCATGAATCTTTTTTGCTGCGTACCAAATGGCACACTATACACTATGCACTTATGCACTGATACACTCAACAGCATAGTATGTAGTGTCATCCCAAATGGATCACTTA